CTATGGTTACCGCGCCAGTGTTCTCGTCGCCCCTCTTCACTTTGCTATTGCCGGACTGGCAACATTGCCCAGGCTACGCCACCCAGCTGTGTCCATGTTTCAGCTGGTAGTCTTTTGTTATCATATGACTCGAGGAGGCGTGAATTAGGAACTTGTGAGGACCAGGGCTAGGTATTCCGCTCCTTCCAGGTTGTCAACTCACCATTTTGTAACCCAAAGTGCTTGAATAAATAAACCCTAGTAAACCAATAGTAAGTATAATGGTCGCTCGCATACTATTGAAATAATTAAATGCTCTTATTTTTTAAGATCACAGTGTTTGATGGAATCTCCTCCAAAAGACCAGTTTAAGAACGTTTCTATAGTTCTCCGGACGTATTTTAGTATTTAAACCCTCCAAAACTCGAAAAACTCCGACAATTGTCAGAACTTCCACGGCCTTCTCAATTCCCTGAGCACCAATTAAGATGTACAGTGTACCTCAAAATTGAGCGTAAAGATGTCATTAAATTTTACAGGGTGACAAGTGAACCAGGAAAACCAGAAAATCCGGAAAAAAAAGTCGGGAATTTATTTTCACCAGGAAAAACCGGGAAAAACCAGGAATTTCATAAGTCAACCAGGAAAATAATCTTGTTTGTATAATTTAAATAGGTTTTCAATTTTATGTATGTCAAAGTTTCTTTTTATAATCAGGTAAATTGTAGTTTTATCATAATTTTAATATTAGCACAAAATAAAATAGTAATTTTAAATTCGCTTTTGTAATGCTAAAGTAAATAGTTTGCTTTGAGTGTAAAGTTAATTTATAAGAAAGTTCTAACAGTTTTTTTGCACTTCGACACTTGACGGGTCATACCTCTAAAAAAGTAGCAGTGACAGTGTCGCATGTCCTAACAACAACTGCCTGCGACTAGTGTTCGAGGGGCCGACAGGGCTGAATAAGGGTCAATACTAACAAAACTCTAACACTAACATGACCCCGAAACTAACGTTCATCCATTGCACTAATAGTTATAATGTAGTTGTACTTTCCTAATAACCCATCTATCACAGACAAACAGACATAACACTCGCAGGTTGTTCATCTAACACGCATTTTACGGTCAATTTGAGTGTTTTTGGTTGGTGGTGCCGCCACCTGTGGCGCGCACGGTCGGTTCCCTTGCGTTTGACGTCTGCACACTAGCGCCATCTGTTCAGTGTACTATCCATCACATGATACTCAACAGATGGCGGTAGTGTTTTAGTGACTACGTTTTGTGGAGAGAAATATCAAATGTGTTATTTCTGTTTGTCTGTGCATCTATGTTTCTTTTTCGTTGTGTGTCTGTTGGAGGGGGGGGGGAGTTAATGTAACCAATACTAATACCTTTCTCTGTTCTTTTATTCGTTTTCTATATCCCTTCACCATCACCCCATATCCCATCATCTTGACGAGAGATGAGTTACTTGCATGGTGCACGCCCAAGTCGTACTACTGGATAATATGCCGAGCGTGGTTATATCACAAAAACCACGCAGGAACGGAAATCGATGGAACTGAGGAATAATGAGGTAAATTCTACACAGTATCTTAAAGGAGCCAACTCTAAGCAGGTAATAATAGCAATTAATAATCAAACAACCATAAAAAGGTAAGAATGAATTTATTTATTTTAAATACAGTAATTACCCGATTTTGTCAGCCCCTCCGCGCTTCAGACTTTTTTCTTTCAATAATTTCACATACCCATAAATCTAAATTTTTCTCATTCATCGTTAAGAGGGATATTTAAAGTATACTTTGGTGCAATAGGTTCTAGAAGATTACTGAAAAAGGGCATTGCTTTTGTAGAACATTGGAAAACATTTTCAAAAAAGGGGGCTGACAAAATCGAGACATTACTGTATTTCATTTACATTTACATGATTTATCACATATTTCTGGAGTCATTTGCCGGTTTCTCGCGAATTGGGGCTCAGCCTGGAAAAACTAATAACAGAAACAGGTAGAGGAATAGTTCCTCTATAATTTGGTATAGTTTGTTTGCAGGATTGTTCTTTTGTTCGCGGGAGACCGGCGATTGACGTGTTTGTTTGCAGGGGCGATTGCGCCCAGATCTCGGGGTTCTCCGGATTTATGGTCGTAATCTAATACACACAGTTGATCACAATACGAGCCTAAAAGCTGCAGTGACCTAGTGAGCACCATAGCTCGAGTCGTCTGAAAGTATTGTGTATCGCATGGAGAGCCCAACCGAGATTCTAGCCTATTAAGACTGCAGTTGGTCAACTAACGAAAAAAAAAAAAAAATTTAGTAAATATATTTTGTATTTATTTTTAATTTTTTTTTTCTCGAATCAATTGCATGAATGATTTGTGCTTAATTGATAGCAGACTTAAGCAGTGCCGACGCGTAACTACTTTGAAGTACCTGTTCAACATGCTCAATAAAAAAGTTCTATTTCTAAAAACTTCAGATAAGGCCTCCGAACTTCATGCAAGTTCTACAAAATTCGGGAAAGTCTTACAAGTTTCAGGAAAATCCTGTGAACTACTGTAATTGCCTACGACGGTCAGGAAATCTCTCCGAACCTTCAAAGAAGTTCTACAAATTTCAGAGAAGTCTTACGAACTTCAGGGAAGTCCTTTAATCTTTGGAGAATAACTACGAATTCAACAGAATTTTCTACAGATTTAATGTAACTTCTACAACATTTAGGAATTAATTGTAACTTAAGGATTATCCTATGACACTTATGGATTTTTCCGAACTTCAGAGAAGTCTTCAATACTCTTAGGAAGTCCTCTGAATTTAACAAGCTCAAAAAAGTTCCTAGAACTTCCGAGAAGTCGATTGAACTACAGGTAGCCCTACGAAATTCATGGGAGCTCTCCAAACTTCAGAGAATTTCCAAGAAATTAAGGAAAGACCCACAAACTTTTGGAAAACCCTTCGATGTGTAAATTCTAAATTTAGGGTCCTCATATATTCAGTTAAGTCCTTTAAACATCAGGGAAGTCCTCAGATCTTTGAGAAAGTTCTTCGAAATTGAAGGAAGTTTTACGAACATCTGAGAATTTCTACGAACTACGATATTTAAGATATTCCTATGAATTTAAAAAAAACTCCGAACTTCAGGGAAGTCCTAAGATCTTAAAAAAAAAGTCCTTCGAACTTCGGGGAAGTCCCATGAAATTCAGGCAATACAAACTTCAATGAACCCTTCAGGAAAGACCTTAACGCTTCAGTGAAGTTCTACGAACTTTAGGGAGTTTCTATGAACTTCAGCAGTCAGTCTTTTTAATAATAAGAATTATTAAACTAGCGTTGTTTATGAAATCTTTTAATCATATGATTTTGAAATCATGTTGTAATCAATATTCCGCTAAATAAGATCCTTAATCGTTGACAATTTGCGGAAAATTTAAACAAACTGGAAATCCGTAAAATTGTTAGAAGCAAAGGTTTGTTTAAGGGGAAGTTTACCGGCCCGAAAATAAAAAAATATTTTCGGTTCGTTTTTATTTTTCTTTTTTAAAATATTGGGAAAAATTATCAAAAATCCAAGAAAATCAGTTTCTTCCTTCCTGTCAAAAATTACATGCAAAAATATTTTTTTCTACCTCATCATAAAAAAAAATTCGACCCTCAATAAAACCGAAAAGTCGATGTTTTGTGGTTTTTTGAGTCCAACTTTACGCCATAATGACTGATAAAAAATGTTTTTGCACGTGAATTTTCTTTGAAAAAAAAAACGTGATGTTTTTAGATTTTTGATGCCTTTTTTCAATATTTTTAGAAAAATCAAAACGTAATTATTTTTTCGGAGCGGTGAACTTCCCCTTAAAGAGTCCTCATTCATATCACACTTCGCAATTTCACCTTGAGATAAACTGGCTAAAAATCTCAATAATAAAGTTAAAAAAATCGCAGTTTCAAAAACAGAAATCTCAAGATTTAAGGGCTTATAGATCTCTAAATTTCAGACATTAGATAGGGCTCCGCGCTAGTCCGTCGTATCTCAGCTTTTCTTTGTCCCCTAAAATCGCTCAGTTTATGCGTCTCCAATCATCGGGAACAATATTGAGCTCCAATGTCACTTTTATTGGAACATATCCTTTTCCTGATTATAAAAGATCCATATGATGTCGTTTACTGTAGCTCTACTTGGTACGGATCCTCCTACTTAGTAACTGTGGATATCACCCTTACCTTTGTCCGTAATCGTATTTAGCTTCAGAATCAGCGGATAATTCGTTTCCCCGAAACTCCCCTCCGTTTCCATCGGATGATTAAGCCAGCCGTTTTTGCGCATAGGCCAGTTGAATTTCAGTTGAAAGCAACGCAAGACAGTCGCTCGTTCCTTTGCCTCTCCGAAATCCAAATTGTGTATCTGAAAGTCAACCATTCGACTCGACCCATTTGTCTAGACGAAAAAGAATCATTTTCTCCAACAATTTCCGTATACAGGACAGCATCGCGATGGAACGGAACGAGTTTTAATCCGACGCGGGTTTACCGGGTTTTCGAATGGCGATAACTCTTACTTGCCTCCAGTCAGCCGGAACAATGTTGTGCTCCAGAAATTGATTTACACTCTGTTAATCTATTAAATGTTGCAAATTTAGATTAGTGTTCGTAAATCTGTTCTCATGTTTTTACTAGAATTAAGATAATAAGACAAACAAAAAAGAAAATTAACGTACAAGTTGAAAGTTTATGTCATCGGTCTGGACTTCCAGTGGTAGTGACAACTGGAATGCCAGTGATATAAGCGAAAACGAGAAGAGAAGAGCGTGAGTGCCTTTCCCTTAATTGATAACACATAGTGACAGTCGACGAGTCTCTCTTCACCATAGAAGAGAGTCGAAGGACGGGCGAAGGGAGGGTAAAATGTCCCTCTTTTCCAGAGTGAGTAACCGAAAATAAAATCCCCTATCTCGCCCTGTTACCAGCGCGGTGGAAAAATCCCTTCCGTAGCAGCTCTGCTCCGGTAGAGTGCGACCAGAGAGCATAGTAGTTATTGCTTCCAGCGCGAGACCACCCTTCAATCGCAGCGGGAGCGATCCGTGTGTGGACCTCTATACATTCTGTTTCGTTTTTTAACAGTAAGGAGTGATAAAACGTCTCGGCGGAGCAGATCGATTGCGGTTTTTGCGGCGAATAATGTGCTTTGATTGATAGTTGCCAGCGAGCAAACGGCACAGGAAGCGTTCGGGCGTCCGAATATGGTATTTTCCAGCGGCGAACGGGTCCAGTAGTGCAGAAAAGTTGGATTTTCCGATTCAGGGGGCCAGGCCATCATCGGGGGAATCATCCCAATCCCATCATCATTAAAGTGAAAGGAAAGTGGAAAAGGCATTCGCCCAATCGACCCGTCGTCGTCGTCGAGAGAAGAGAGAGTGCGAGAGAAAGTGAGAGCGAGAGTAAGAGCACATTGAGAGATAGAGGTAGTAAATTGGAAGTGAGAGTGCGTAGCAAAGGCAAAGGCAAGTGAAGTGTTTGCGGCGGCCTCTTTCGCGTGAAATCAGAGGAGTATCCTCCCAATCGAGAGAGGGAGAGTGAGTGTGCCAGTGTAAAACGGAGAACGAGAGTGCAAAATCTCCACGGTTCAAAAGGTGGATATTGGATTTTTATATGTAAAGTAATATGGAGGATCTGAAAGATGGTGATATATTTTAGTGAAATGCAGAGTTAGAAACGAATTTATTTTCACGGAAAAGTGCACCAGAACGACGAAACGCTACAGGAGGACCCGATTTAGGATTAGTGATTGGAGTTGAAGCCTTTCGGGACTAGTGGTGGCAGCCGTGAAGAGTTTGACGAAATCTGCCCTCAAGTGAGTGGAGATTGTGCGAAAGCCCCAACAATTGAAAACTGCAGATAATCGATAAATCGGTGTTGAATTTTTTTCCTCTCTCTGTGGCGGTGGCACCAGAATAAAGTGTACGGGAAAAAGGCGAATCTGTCCGGAAGGAAGAAGAGAAAAAGAAGAGGAGAGAAAGTCAGCACCCCTAATTGTCCATCGGCTTTTCTTTCTCGGGATAGTTCATTACTTTGCATTACGGCAAATTAGGCAAAAGGAATCGAAAGTGTTCAGTAGCTGCTAAATCTTCCCTCTCGAGACTGCGTCAGGATGAATGAGCTGGAAGCGCTTAGACAGGAAGCGGAAACGCTGAAGAATGCGATCCGAGACGCCCGGAAGGCAGCCTGTGACACATCGTTGGTCCAGGCGACGAATAATCTGGAACCCATCGGTAGGATACAGATGCGGACCAGACGTACCCTGCGCGGTCACTTAGCTAAGATCTATGCCATGCACTGGGGCTGTGACTCCAGAAACCTGGTTTCCGCCTCGCAGGACGGTAAGCTGATCGTTTGGGACTCGCATACGACGAACAAGGTCCATGCGATCCCGTTGCGATCGTCCTGGGTCATGACCTGTGCGTATGCGCCGTCAGGTAACTTCGTTGCTTGCGGTGGACTGGACAATATTTGTTCGATCTACAACCTGAAAACTAGAGAGGGAAATGTAAGAGTATCACGTGAGCTTCCGGGACATACAGGATATCTTTCCTGTTGCCGGTTTCTTGATGACAACCAGATTGTCACCAGTTCCGGCGATATGTCCTGTGGGCTGTGGGACATTGAAACGGGCCAGCAGTGTACATCGTTCCTGGGACACACTGGCGACGTGATGGCACTGTCCCTATCTCCTCAGTGCCGTGTTTTCGTGTCGGGAGCCTGCGACGCTTCCGCCAAGCTATGGGACATCCGCGAGGGCCAGTGCAAGCAGACCTTCCCGGGGCACGAGAGCGACATCAACGCCGTTACCTTCTTCCCCAATGGGCACGCATTCGCAACCGGTTCGGACGACGCCACCTGTCGTCTGTTCGACATCCGTGCCGATCAGGAATTGGCCATGTACTCGCACGACAACATCATCTGCGGTATCACTTCGGTAGCATTCTCCAAATCCGGTCGCCTGCTTCTGGCCGGCTACGATGACTTCAACTGCAACGTGTGGGACACGATGAAGGCCGAACGGGCGGGTATCCTGGCAGGACATGACAATCGCGTATCGTGCTTAGGAGTCACCGAGAATGGCATGGCCGTTGCGACCGGTTCCTGGGATTCGTTCCTGCGCGTCTGGAACTAAGCAGCCCGTGAACGGGAGTTCAGCTACGTACACAAAACACACATCCGCACAAACACACGCCCACAGCTAAATGCATCACACACGAACACACATACAGACACAATTATTTTACAGAACAAAAGCTAGGAATCAGTCAGCGCCGACGAGGTAAACAAAAGCATTTCATCAAAGCAACCAATGCATTCAAAACACACACACACAAACATACACTCAAAAATGAGTCAAAAACGAGAAGATTGATCCTACAAAGGGAACCGAATTTTAGTTTGTTTTAAGGCGACGGATATGTGCATTTTTTTTCAAAAACAAAATGTTCTCAAAAAATTAAGTATGTTGATTCTTTAGGTTTTTAGGGACGATTAGCACAAACTTTTTTCAAAACGGAAATCTCGTTGTAATAGTTTTTAATCTTTGCGCGCAATTATTTATTTTGAAAAAAAAATCGGTTATAAGCTTTTTTACTCTACTACTATTTCCGTGCATATATTATTATATGTAGTTAAGAGGAGTCAAACAATTTTATGTTTATTTTTTTTTGTCAAAGTCGTAGATTTACCATTGTTTTTTATTTATCAAACCTAAACTATTATGTACGTGAATGTTAGACTGCAGAGGAATCTTGAACTCCCGTAAGAGAGTTCTTTTCGTTTAGTTTTTCGTTGATTATTTATGTAACAGGCAGGCTGCTCCTAGAACGACTCATCGGAGTTTGACGCACACCGGAAAGGAGTAGGCCACGCACAAACACAGAGGCCCTTGATAAATGGTTGTCAGATAGTCGTCAGCTAGTTTGACGCGCGATCAACTAGGATGGCTTCAGGGCAGCTTATTCGCGTCATAGCTGATTTCGCGTTTATTTCTTCTCGTGTATTACATTCGAGTATTGTTTAAGGGGCTGCTTTTCAGCTGTATTAGATTTTCTATTTGAAGCAAAAGTGTTATTCCTTCTATTTGTACACACAAACATATACATATATGGGAACGATAATCTATTTATACACAAACACAACTTTGTATTTATTTATATTTAGTCTGTACAATCAACCTCTATTGAGCGAGAAGGAAGCATAAAAAAGAATGGAAATTTTAAGAAGAAGAAGAAGAAGAAGGCAGTGTTGCCAGAATCGCTCCACTGTGCAAGAGCTCCCAAGGGGCGATATCTTAACGGAAATGAAATGAAAGGGTCACGCAGCAAGCGAACCCTGAAATGGCAAACCATAACGGAGTTTCCCGCTAGGATACTGAGCTTCTGCATCCGGAGGGATTCTAAGGAGGCGTAATCTTTGCGTTTTTGAGACCCATTTTATTCGGTACCAAATGCTCTCCTCATTCGAAGCCATATTAATTTACGCCGTATTTTTAGATTGTATAATGTATGTATCAGTAGTAGTGCGAAACGGAGAGAAACAATAGGATGGAGCACCTAATCATTCGCAGGGTTACCTAAATTCGAGCAAGAAATTTTGTTGCGCTAGTCAGTATCGGGTGACAGCTCCTATTCTTATCCTTGTTGTGCACTTTTTTTTCTTCTTTCTAGACTAGTCTCTGTCCAGTATTCCTTTCGCGTAGTAACAAACGAGACAACCAAAACACATACAAAATAGACAAAAGAAGCATGGTCATATCTCAAGAATTGTATGATGGAAAAAGAACAGAAAAATAGAAATGCCTATAAACTAAAATAAAAAAAAAAAACTAATGCATATAAGACCATTTTTAAAGAACATAAACCTTGATAAAAAAGGGCAGAAGTCGCATCCATAACAAGCAAAAAAATACGCATACTGTTTGAGTTGTTCTCGTAAAAGCAAAATGAACCATTACAAAATAAAAACATAAACACATATAGCGATGATAAGTGTGACATGAGTATTATAGGAAAACAAACAATGGTACAGAAAGAATGGAACGAATTAGTGCAATCAACGCACACATCGGTAAAATCTAGCGAAACTACCAAACAACAACAACAACACCGGTCTGACGCATCGGCACGCGCATCACCACACACTGGCCAGCACGCTGTGGGAAGAAAGGGCTCTCTGACACAGAAGGCGGTGCCACCGTGCTCCGTCTTGCTGACAAGTGTGTCGTCGTGCAGGCAGGTGTCCGCCGCTAGGTGGCACTGCCTGCCTCAGTATGCGTGCGCTCTGTGGTGCGTCTGGGTTGAGCCATAGCGGTCGTTGTTCTAGTAGTAGCAGCACATTTTCCACGAATTAAAACACCAGGATCCAAACGATCCTGGTGTAAAACAAAAAACCACATCCAATCCTTGAACAACGCCCTATATCGATCGACTGTGCCTAGATCCAACCGTGCGTGTGTTAGTGTATCGGAAAATGAATGTTCTTCGAACGGTTTGCAATGAGAAAGACAAATTCTTGTAAGCGCCACCCACTGCCTAGTATCTTCAAGAAACAAGAACAAAACAAAAAATTACAAAAATATGTGAAGAAAATAAGTAAACAAACTAACAAAAAGCGAATAGAAAGTGTTGAAGAGGAGAATACACACAAACACACATAACCAAACACAACATAAAATCAATTGGATGGATCAATGAGTTACTAGCAAAACGAGAATTAAAAAAAAAAACAAACAATACACACATTTTAACATAGTGTGAGTGCGCTGATTATCCTGGAAAAAGAATGCGACCCAAAACGCTACTAAAAAGCCGTTCAAACCGGGTGCTTCTAAATGTGTAAAGCATTTCAACCAACGGAGCAGCGCATTGAATGTCTATTTAAATTTTGTCACATTACGGCTTTCTGTTTCGATCGAACTTGGTTGTGGTGGGTAAATATGCGCAAAACGAGTACGGCAATCCAGACAGGCTTCACCGGTAATGAAGCGAAACGGAAAACGAGATTGCACGAAGCCGGCTTCGATTGCCGTCCTGTTCAACTGATCGAAGCATGCTTTGATCAGTGACATTTGCTGGAACTTGTGTCAGACTCCTGTCGAAATAGACAGTGGCTTTCGCCATCCGCGATCATTTTCCACAGTCGACTTCGATCGACCACAAACGTCACACCACATGCTTCATTTCATCCGTTACCTTTTTCCTCAGTGTACAAAGCATATTGACATTAGAAACAAACACACACAGAGAAAACCTTAATTATCGGTTATTGAGCTGTTTTTGATAAGAAAACACAAATCACACACACACATAAACGCGTAAACTGAAGTTATCTAGACTAAAACTATTTAAAAAAAAATGAACAAGAAAAGCGCATTATAAATACAATTCAAAAAATGGACACGCATTTAATTAATAATATTCCTAGGGGCTTTCAAACAAATACGGACGCTTGAGGACGCGTCATTTTTAAGATTTGTGTTTCTCCCAACAACTCTGAATGAGAAAATGCGAGCTGTTTAATATGTGCACTCGTGCGTATGAAAATGAAACAAGTATGAAAATTGAAATCGACCAAAAACAGACATCAACAACAACAACAACAACACGAATCGCTTAAACTACCGATTGCACTCAAACACATTCACACAAAGCAACAAGAAAATCTATTTTAAATTTTGAATGTTTGATTTCCATCCGTAAATAGTATTCATATGAATTAAAAAAAAACACACTCCACAACATCAAATCATGAAATTTGAAAATATTAATCTCACATTTTCCTAAACGCATTTTTATGAACATGAACTCTGACGAAGAAGCAGAAAACCAACCAACCAACTAACTTGAACATCAACGGAAACAAAGGGAAAGAAATAAAGACGACATTTATATAAATGAAAACAAAAAGGGGAAAATCAAATCAATCAATCGACAGAACTCGTATTAAAAACCGACGCAAAACTATTGGAACCAAATGAATACAAATTTTGAACAACGTTTCGCAAAAAAAACTCCTTCCCCGTCAGACACACACACACACACACATACATCGGCGGTGCACAAACAGAGGCCGAATCTTCTTGGTCGTGTCGGGAAATGGAAGAAGCAAACAAATTACAACACAACAAGAGCAAAATCCGTTGAACTAAAAGCTAGTGACAATTATCCGTATGTCGCGTGCGATTCGAGACGAGACGACGAGATGTGAAAATGGAACAACCGATACAGATACAAAACAAAAATGGAACACGATAACACGCTAAATCCAGAGTTATCCGAAACCGGAAAGCTAAAGTCGAGAAGAATATAGAAGAAACAAAGAAAAGAAGAGCGAAGCAAACAAGTAATCACCATTTTTACACATTTTGAGGTATCGAAAAACATTTAAAAAAAAAGAGGAAAAAAGAAGAAAGTTAGTCATTAAGGTAACAAAATAATAAAAGTATAGAATACAATTAACTTATTATGAATAACAAAATAAATTAATAAGAACAAAAATAAGTCGGGTGGTGTTTTTTTTTCTCTTTTAATGGTTTTGAAGAATACATTGGGAAAACAAATAATCGTGATGACAACTTCAAGCTGGACAATCTTTTGCCTATGAAAAATCATTGGACCTTACCATGCAAAATGGTAATTATCGAGCTTTCTAATCCGTCTCAGCTGGAACTTTCCGTCTGCCCTAAGTTTAGTTTAGAATAAATTTTCTTTTTGCGTTCTCCATCTCAGACAAGCACTAAGCAACGGTGATGAGAAGTTGTGGAATTTTAATGTCAGGGTTGGTAGCAGGTCACTTTTTAGCGATTTGGTCACTAATTTCAAATCAGTCACTTATTTAGCGTTAGCGTTGTTATGATATACTTCGTAGATTGGATACTAGCGACACTCACCGTCTCTTCTGAAATTCTCAGTTAGACTACTTTCAGGAATAATGCTGGGGAGTAAACATTGGTTCCAATCTAAACAAGAGTAACAGAAGCATGACTGTCGCTATTCCCGGCCACGCCCATCTTTACCATAACTAGGGATAGGGAAGGAAATGTTGATGTAGTACTTACTTAACGAGAGGCCACCGACTTAGCGACACCCTCATAAGTGCTACGGAGTTGAAGGGTTGGGTAGGGTATTCGGTTAGGATTCACCTCAAGTTGGCGTTGCAACCAAAATTATGTATTGTTTATTTGTTGTTTATTTAATCTCTCGATAGCCGGCTATCGAAAGAACATATTAATTTTGTTTAGTGATAATGAATTTTAAGAGTCATGACGGAGAGCTTGGGATTAAACCCATGATTTTCTGCTCAGTAAGCAAAAACGATCCCTCCAGGGTCATCGAGCATCTCAGAACCATAACGCTTCGCGACAATACAGGACTACGTTTTCGCTTGATATGCAAATAGTTTCCGAGGTTAATGTTCAATATCAAATATACAAATGATGATGGCGATTTATTGTGCTGTGGAAGAGCTTGGGGTTAAATCCATGATTTTCTGCTCAGTAAGCAAAATCGATCCCTCGAGGGTCATCGAGCATCTTATAATCCACAGCGCTTTGAATAACTATTATTTGCGATAATTATATGAAATAAATAAAATATAAACTACAAACAAAACGTGACTGCTAAAATCTCCAAAAGGTATTCTCACAAATATATTTCACGCCACCAGGAATCTCAAAACCATTAGACGTTATAATGATACTCTGCACATGTTAGACACAAGAAGAGGCCAAAAGGCAAGCGTCCGACACACAAAACCCGTCAAATCCACTTGCAGTCACAATCAACGATTCTACGAATCGCGAGCGCTCACGAATCATAAAACCGCTGACTGCGATACTCTGAAAGTGAAATTGACAGGCTCTATGCGTCAAACACCCGCCCTCCAATCTCCTCCCGCATCCAACAGCACAAATCTCCACTACAACATCTAACGAATTCAAAACTCCGAAAATCACTCATCTAAAGGGTGATACGGTCAAAATTTGGTCAAGGGAAAACGCGTGTAAATCGGTGAAATCGTTTATTTAAAAAATCAAATTAAATTTCTTTTTCAAGTTCAATTAGTATAAAATTCAGGAAAAATATTCAGTTAGGCTTCCGCTTTTCCAAATCCGAATTGCCGGGCCTTACGCTTGACCTCTGCCATCAGATTTTGTACAGCCACCTTGTCCACCTTCTTCGCCGCAGAAAGCCCGTTTGCCTTGAACTGCTGCTCGCCCTTAGCAGTTTTTTTAGTCTTCTTTAGGTTCCGCTTGACAATAGCCCAGTATTTCTCAATTGGGCGGAGCTCTGGCGTGTTCGGAGGGTTCTTGTCCTTGGCGTTGTTGGCGGCGTACCACTCCATGGCCTTTTTACCGTAATGGCAAGATGCCAATTCCGGCCAAAACAGTACGGAACAACCGTGTTTCTTCAGGAAAGGCAGCAGACGTTTATTCAAACACTCTTTCACGTAAATTTCTTGGTTGACAGTCCCGGAAGCTATGAAAATGCTGCTTTTCAAGCCACAGGTACAGATGGCTTGCCAAACCAGATATTTCTTTGCGAACTTTGACAGTTTCATGTGCTTGAAAACATCTGCTACCTTTCCCCTTCCTTTTGCCGTATAAAACTCCTGTCCCGGAAGCTGCTTGTAGTCGGCTTTGACGTAGGTTTCGTCGTCCATTACCACGCAGTCAAACTTCGTCAGCATCGTCGTGTATAGCCTCCGGGATCGTGCTTTGGCCGTCGTATTTTGTTTATCATCGCAATTTGGAGTCACTACCTTCTTGTAAGTCGATAGTCCGGCTCGTTTTTTGGCTCGATGCACGGTTGTAGACGATACACCCAGCTTATTTGCGGCATCTCGGAGAGAGAGGTTAGGGTTTCGCTTGAAACTACCGGCAACTCTCTTTGTCGTCTCAGCGGCTTCCGGTTTTCGATTTCCCCCCGATCCAGACTTCCTGGCTGTCGACAAACGTTCCCCAAACACTTTAATTACATTTGTAACGGTTGATTTGGCAACTTTTAGCGATTTTGCCAACTTTGCGTGCGAGTAGCTCGGATTTTCGCGATGCGCGAGCAAAATTTTGATACGCTGCTCTTCTTGCTTGGACGGCATTTTGACAACTGAAGAGTGAATTCCAAAATCAAAATAGGAGCAACATTCTACACACACACACCTTCAAAATGAGGGGTGTTCAGGTTTTTTAAATGCAAAATTGAAAGAAATACGTCAAGTTGATATTGACCAAATTTTGACCGTATCACCCTTTATAGCAAGTGAGTGGAAGCAACCCTGCATGAAACCATTCTTCATGATACACTTTTTCTGCCTATCTTTCTATTAGGCCTGTGGACATGCGTTAGCTTCGAAACTTCTAACCAAACTGGGTGAATTTTCAGAAAAACAAAAAAAAACTTGAAAAAAACATTCAAGTAAAATAAATATTGATTATTTTACGCAAAAACGAGCAAGTAATATTAAATCTCTTGTATCATATGCTAATGCAAATTGACTGTAACAAAAATAATATACTTAAATAAAATAAAATATTAATAAAATTATATGCAAAATTTACGAGAAGATCATTACTTTATTGGTGAGAAGTTTCTAATAAGCCCTCCCAGTTCCTCTGTATACAGAACAAATCTGATACTATAATCAAAATTGCTCAGTCTGCATGAAGCAGCCGATTTCATCAAGGAAGTTCTATTAACAACCAAGAATTAATCGTTTGAGGCATACTGAAGCATTAAGAAGATGATATGTGTCACTATAGGAAATCATCATCGTTGCAAATATGTATAAAGAAAACATAACCCTTTGCTTCAGTACCGTCAACCTCCATGTCCATGGGGAGGGTCTGGTGGAACATTTCTTTGATGTCCGCAGAAACTCCCACCTTGTACTGCCGAAAGCCTGACAAAACGGCTGGAAGCAATGTAAGCTGGTCTGGACCTTTCAGCAGCATGGAATTCAGGGATATTCCATCCACTGTCGCTGCCGCATCCCAAATAAACCGAACTTTACCCGGTTTCCGTGGGTTGGTCACTGCGCCTAACGGTAGATACCACACTCGTTTCGGCTCCGCTTGCGCTAATTCGTCTTCCGTCACTCGATGTGCATAGCCTTTGATCTGGTACTCTGCTATCTGCTTCTTAATATTAGCCGCTAGCTCAAGATCCCGATTCATCTTGCGCTCCAGACACTCAAATCGTTTAACCGCCATATTGTAGCTGTCCGGAAACTCGATGTTGTCGTATCTCCACAGCAGACCCGTTTCGAACCGTTCATCTACTCGGGTAGTCGTCTCCTCCATGATTCTTCTAGCACGCTTGTCCTCTTCTGATTCCAGCTGTACTGAAGGCTTTACCCCCGCATCTTCTATCAGGAAGTAATCCTTCACTGCGTTATGTAGCTGCTGATCACTGTGACACTCACAGGCGTGGTAATTCAGCGAATGTGCACCTTAATTTCCACTGCCACCGAAGATACACCATCCTAGCCTAGTCTTCACGACAATAGGTTCACTTCTCTTGCCTTCTTTCACCTGCAGCGGGACTGTAAGGCTCACGTTGTTCACACCTATCAAGAGTCGAGGAACTGCCTTCGCGTAGTTGTCGATAGGCAAACCTTGAAGATAACGATAGCGTTGTGATAGCTCGTCATAGTTGAGACTCTGTTCCGGCAACGTGAGCTCCTTCACGGTGCGGACATCGTTGAGAGAGAACAGTTTTTGACTATTTGTTCCCTTGATCGTAAGTCGAACGTTTTTCGATTCTGGCTCGACTCTGGTGACGTTTCCTGTCCACTTCAGGCACAAAGGTTCGGTCCAACCGTTGACTCCCAGTTGCTCCACCAGACTGCTGTCGATGAGCGAGAGATCCGAGCCGTCATCCAGAAAAGCAAAGGTTTCGATAGTAGCTCGCGGACCGGAGATGATGACAGGAATAATGCGAAACAGAAGAGCCTGCTTGTATTGCTGATGCGTATGGTTCTGTACGGTTGACATACCTTGTGTATGCCGCCCGCTGGCATTGGATCGATTGGAATGCAGCAACGGATGATGGCGATATTGGCATCCCTCGATCACACACCGTGTTGAATTTCTGCAGCTTCTTCTTCCGTGTGCGTTAAGACAACTCCGGCAAAGCCCGTTATCTTGCGCGAACTTCCACCGGTTGTCTACGGTATACGCTTTGTACGTGGAACACTCTGTCACGTGATGACCTGACCTTTTACAGCAAGAACATACTC